TGTGTGTGTGTGTGTGTGTGTGTGTGTGTGTGTGTGTGTGTGTGTGTCAGCTGGACAGAGTCATATTCTGTGTGTTCTTGCCGACGGATAAGGAGCTGTATTTACAGACCCTCCCGCTCTACTTCCCTGCTGGTGAGTAGTCTTTTACATACATACATACATACACACACACCAACGCATACACACTTTCATATATACAGTGATGACAGCTTCGCTTAGCTCAATATGACTTCACACACAGTGGTGTGATAAATAAGCTGCTTCATCCTCCGTGTGCTATTTGCACATCCATGCATCCACACATACACCAGGGTCATTAGACACATAATAGTATGTATATATAGCACACTTAATTGTGTTTAATTGCATCAAAAAACATACACATTGCTCCTCAGACACACATGCATTCAGTGACGTTTCAAACCTTTTAATACATATAAAGATGCACAGTGGCTCCAACCTACCCATGTTTAACAATTGATTTAAATGCACAAATGCACACACAAGTGAGCATGTTCAGAGATACATCTATTCTGTTTATTGGCATAAACCTGAGAAACGTAATATTTCTTTGGATTTATTTTATTTATTTAATCAATTAAATATATTTACAAATTGACATTTGTTCTGGTGAGTTAAAACACTGTTAAATGTTAAATAGTGATACAAGGTTACACATATGTCATGAATGTATTTATTGGAACAGCCATTCACATATTTTATAGTACAATGTGCATACCCAGATTGAATGACACAATGAGGATTTGAAACATGTTCATTATTGACAGTAGCTTGTGACAAAACATTTAAGGGTTAGAACCATAAATAACAAAACAACGTAATAGTAAAGTTAAAAGATTTTGGCACATTTGCTCATTTGCTTTCTTTCTGAGAGTTAGTTATAAGATCGATACGTGTCCATCTCTGTATGATAAATATGGAGCTGGACTCAGGACGTTCTTAGCTTAGCTTAAACATTGGAAGCAGAGGGAAACACGTAGCCTGACTAAAGAGAAATATATATATTGTGAGCTGCTGGATAGTTCTTCGACGTCAATCTTAACTTTTATTGTTAACTAAACTGCTAAGGTGCACAAGTTAATCTTCTCCTAGAGATTTTCATCCGTTACCAAAACACGTGTACATGGAGGAGTACATGCACGGATTTACATCGAGCCAAGACGGATGCAATCAGATTTGTGATCTGGCTAACAGAGATACGCTCTTTGAATTATGTCATCGCTTTGCACCTCTTCTTCTTCTGCAACGGGTATAATGGTAGCTGACTGGAAAGTTAGCACCACCTAATGCTTATGTTGGTGAATCAACTCCTAATATTTGCATAGTGGATGGAAACATGCATTCATTCTTTTGCTGATGTTCTGAAAATGTCGTCAAAATGTGTGCTACATTTTGATGAAAACCTGCCTAATGTGCCTTGCGGTTGTTCTGATCTCACTCTTAAAAAGTGAGCAACTGAGAATCTCTCTGTGTGTGTGTGTGTGTGTGTGTGTGTGTGTGTGTGTGTGTGTGTGTGTGTGTGTGTGTGTGTGTGTGTGTGTGCGTGCGCGCCTTTCTTTTCCAAGTACAGTGTGTAAGATGACATTTGAGAACTTTCATACATTTCTTAGCCAGTCATCTGTGCTTTGCCCTCATTTCTGTGTCCGCCCCTTTAGCCTGACCAATGACAGCTTATTGTTCAGGTAACCAGCATGCTGTGTGTCAACATGTGTAGTTTGCTCTATCAAAAGGAATAACTACGTTTGGTATGCTTGTAGATGGGCAGTCTTAAATATTCAGAGAGGAAACCTTGACATTTCCTCCAGCCAGGATTGAAAATATTTGCACCTCAGTTAAATGGCTTTTTGTGTTGGGCACTGCTGGCCTCAAGCTAGCTAGTTAAGGAAACAGTTGGTGAGGAAGAAAATATTAAAAAGCTCTTTCTCTGAAGGTGAGAAGTGTTTGGCTTGAATGAAAAAGAAACAACCACATTTCTAGCCTCCGAGGTTCCTCCTTCAATCGGGAAGTCCTGTCTCACCTGCTTTTCAAAAAAGACTAAACGAAAGTTGTGTGCCATCATTACAGATTGATCTGCATTGTTAAATGAAGTTTAGTAAATACGTAAATTTTATGTTGGCTCGAGCTGTGACATGATGACTTCACCCATTTGTTTTGATTACACCCGTGATTGATAGTGTTGTAATGCCAAGCAGTCTGGGCTCCTAAACATGATCAGTCATTCACTCAATTATTCAAATTAAGCATTGGTCTTACAACTGCAGCCTTAACCTCTAATGTCTTGCTTTACCGCTGCTATAAATCAAACTCACCTCTCGCCCATGAAACATTTTGAGAGAGAGGTCTCAAACATTTTCGTGCTTTCTGCTTTTTTAAAACTGTTTTGCTTTTCTTTGGCACACAGCTGCTGCAAAAGCCAAATTCAAGTGCAACAAAACAATCAGAAACTTGCTGCGAATTTTCACCTCCACAAGTTTTGTGCAGCTGCTCGGTCCTGCGTCTCATCTGGTAGAAATCTTACATTTATCTGAAGTATTCAGAGGAAGCGGGGGTCACTTAACCTCGAATGTTCTCAGTGTAAAAAGTTGGCAATGTAAAGAACTGTGGATCTGAATTAGTGTCTTTATAACCTGCCTCTGTCTGTGCTTCTAGACCGTACAAAGCAATTAGAATAATAATAATAATTAATAATTAATAATAATAATAATTAGAATAAGTGTTGTGCAGGTTTATACTTACATTTTACAGAGTCGTGTGACATAAAATAGAAGCTATTCATTAACTGACAAAATAAAAGACAATAAACAAACAAAATCTTGCAGCATGAACAACAGAAAAGCCGATGCAGTGAAGTTTGACATTGAAACTAAAGCAAGGAGTGCTGTGTTTCATTTTAAATGGAAGGAAGGAGGGTTTTCATGGTCTCAGTGGCAGTAAAGCCGAAGCAACCGAGAAATGCCTCTGGGGTTTAAATATATCACCCGGTATATCATTAATATGCATGCTGCTCAACAGTTCAAGGCTATACATAGACATTATGCATTTAACGTCATTTTCTCACCTTTACAATTCAGTATGTTTGAAGACACGTTTGCCAAAAAAGCCGCAGACGAGATGAAAAAGACACCATGAACTGAAGATGTAAAGTGTGTTTCACATATGTGCCCAGACAGACGAGGAGTCAAAGAAGAGCAAAAGAGGAGCAGCCTATTAAAAATAAGAGCAGAATCCAATCAACTCTGCAGCCGTATCTCCCACATAAGCTTTACAGACAGACATTGGGTTAAGAGTCTAAATGTTTTGATCTTTTTGCAGACAGATCCGACCAGTAGAGTCCAATACCAGGAAGGATTTCTCCCTCATTTCAATAGGGGCCTCAGAGGAGATCAATAGCTAAAAATAATGATATCTCAAACTGCGAAGCCCTTGTATGCTCTACTTTGTACAAAAACCTAAATATGAAGGAAGTTTACAGAGAAGTGTTTTGTAGATAAAAATGTAACAATGACTAAGCAGAAGTAGCCACCTCACACTAATATAAAATATGTTAGTATGAGCTGAAAGGATAATAATGATGGTGTTCTTTATTTTCTTATCAATAAATCCTCTGAAAATGCCGGAACCAACAATTGACCCTACTAACAAGTATTTAGCCAAAGCCTGATGTATCTGTTTTCCTGCCGTAGAGCTCCATTGTTGTCCAGAAACTATTAAAAACATATCAATGAGCCACACTTGGTGGCATGTTCCTTCATCAACATGAACTCGGGCGCTGTAGTTTATTTTGAGTCATCATACACTGTTTTGCTGCCAGTAATACTCACTAGAGCATTGAGTCATTATTAATCCACTGCTGAAAATAGTCCCTCTCAATGTTTGCTGAAGTTCGCCTACAGCTGTTTTAGGAAATTATTTAGCCTTTTAAAAAAACACAAGACTACATATTTGTACATATCTGCTTGGATGCCACAGACGGGGTAGGGAAGCTGGTTTATTTAGGTTTTGTTCGTCTGCCTCGTCCTTTAAGCGTTTAGGAAATACCTCAGTTTCCTGTACAACACCAAACCCAAGAATTTGGGAAAAATAAGCGGCAAATTAATCAATTAAAAATATAAATGTTGTTGCGGCTGATTTCTATTTGGCCTCAAAGAAAAGGCAGTTTGCCCTTCAGTTTGTCTTCAGTTCATCTTTATGAACATATTCTGCATTCGCATGTAGAATCTGTAAGAAACATGAAAGGTTTTTGGCATCAGAAACGTTCTAGTTTCCGTTTTTAGTCCGATTGTATTAACCAATCACTTCCGAGCAGGCTTTGGTTGACTGCAGGTAAACAGTCCATGTGGAGACCCAGAGAGGCGGAACTCATTGACCGAAATCTGGCAAAGTGTCCATACAAACAGAATTTACCAAATAAGTGTTTGATCACTTAGAAGCTGCGAAGTGAAAGTGAAAGGTGTCAAACCCACAGAGCATTGGCTGAGTTATTTTATATATAACGAATACTGAAACAAGAATCCATCCAGCTTTAGAGTCAGAGGGCCTATTTTTATACCTATGAACAAGCGACAGTTTCAAACTGTGACACAGCATCAACTCTTCACTTGAAGCATGAAATCAACGCTTTCACGTCTTCACACTGGGTTGGTTGACTAAAGAGGTTATTTTCCAAAAATACAGGTGCGTCCCTCCTCTAATGGATGTACAGCAGATTTTAGCAGCAGTGAGCGAGCAGTAGCGGTGCTTGGCTGGTAGATGGACCGGAACTGTCTGCTGCAGGCAGGCCTCCAAGTCTCCACTATAAACCTTATGTGTCTCCAACACCTGGACCGGCCCACACTGGCTGTCTGTTTGATGTGTGTGTGTGCGTGTGTTTGCATGTTTTCTGTGTGTCTTTAGCCATGCTGGACTCAGAGTGACTAATACGCATTAACAGATCCCTCTCAAGCAACCAGATGCTCCAAAAGCGCAAATGCTATTAACTGCTCCATGACCAAGGTAAAGTGCTCTCTTCCCTTGTTTTATAAGTTTTTTGTTGTCTTCTCTCTCTCTCCCACCGCCAACAGAGGCCACAGTCAAGAGTAAACTCTGAGAGAGTGGATTGGTCAGATTTGGTTGCTGTGGATACAAACTACGCTCAACATACAGATGCCTCCTCGTTGTTGTCGCAGATCGAGACCTCCTTCAGCAGGAAGATAACTCCTTAATGGACGATTGCTTTTTTTGAAGTGCACGCTGGCTCTTCTGCAGATGTTGATTAGTTCCTCTGTTTTTCCTACGAATCATTGAGAGTGATGTCGTGAAAAATGTGACCTTAAGCTGCACTCTAACTTGACCTTTATTTGTCTGTGATCAGCTTTGCATCAAGCTATGAGTTATGTGTCCTGAGCTATTTAAATATTGGGATTCCAGTGTGTGTGTGTGTGTGTGTGTGTGCGTGTGTGCGCACATGTGTGTGAGGCGATGACAAAAGCTTATTAAAATGAATCACACAGGCTCCTAGTGTGTATGATTTGATTATTTCTAGGGATGCGATACGAGTCGGTGAACTGGGGCATCACGAGGGAACACTTTACATCAACATTTACTTTTTAGCTTTCTTCCTTCTGAATGTGAAGGAGACAGAAAGAGGGACTTTGTTCATCTGCCAGCAGCGGTGGAAAGTAAGTAAGTACTTTGCTGAGGTAGTTGTACTGTAGTTTCCAAGAGTATTTCTGCTTTATATTAATAATATATTACAATGCATTTTTTGTGGTGTGACAAACTCGGAACACACATCTATTTTTGCTTTACCTGTACTTTAAGTAGTAATATATTAGGATACTACTTTTAATAGAGTAAAGGATCTGAATACTTCTGCCAATTTTTCACTTGCACACCTTCCCCTTTTTTGGACGACCCCAACACCTGTTCATTTTCAACAACAAGCATCAATCCTCCCTCTCTCCTCCCTGTATTCTCTGTGTTTCTGTTTTGTCTCCGTGCTGTCCAATATCCCATGCACTCCGTCTGGCTCTCTGTCAGAACTCACCATATGTGTATTTATGCAAGCACCATTATGCTTTTCCATACAGCGCATCTGTACGAGTTGTTAATTGTCTGTTGCAGGATGTGGCCGTCACGTGTCGGCGGGACGCAGGCGGTGATTTGCGTGAAGCGAATTGAGAGTTTAGCAAGCCACCGTCCCACCCCTCGACTTTCATCTGCCAACAACCATCTTTATTGATTCCAAACAATCTGCCACGGTGGTGCAGACGTACAGGGAGGAGGGGTGTGTAGTTTTGGGACAAAGGAAGTAAAGGGGATGAAGGGGGAAAAATAGACTACAAAGAAAATCAACAGGAAATTGGGAGAAAGTTCCTTTTTTTTTTTTTTTATATAAAAGCTTCATCTGCCACAAAGGGATTGTCTTTTCCTCTGCGGAGCTCTTTGATTCCCTCTCTGTCTGGGACTCCATCTCTTCTCTGTCCTCTTCATCGCTCATTCTCGCTGTTTTACTCTACAGGATGGTGGAAAAAATAAACAGATGGAAGAAGGGGGGGGGGATAAAGAGACAGAGAGAGGAAGGATGTAGGAGTTCAAACAGAGAGAGGGGGAGGGAAAAAAAAAAGGTGGCGATGAGAGGATGCAGAGCCGGAGGGAGGATGCAGAGATGGAGGGGGAAAAGAGGGAAGGAAAGCATGATGAATTCATCTAAAGGCGTTCTGTTTTTTTTAATAAGCAGCAGACTGTGAAGCTACTCTCCGACCAGTCACTCTGAGTAATGAGAGAGAGAGGGGGAGAGAGAGAGGGAGAGAGAGAGAGAAAACAACGAAAAGACGAGACTCATTATCCTCCGACCAATTTTCATCACTGTCCCGTCAGTAATATCTCTCTCTCTGGGACGCAGCTCTTTTTGAAAATGCCAGATGAAGAACTATTATACGCTAACTGTTTCGTTAACATGAAGGCTGATTCTCTGCCATCTCCTTGAACATACACTGATAATCCGGTTGGCCCAGGAAATGACTTGCTGCACGCGGCCCGCCAACGCACCTGTGAGTGTGTCGCCTTAATACCGTCAATGGTTAAAGACTTTGTGTGTAACAGGGTGTGTGTGTGTTGAAAAATGTCCACCGCTTGTTAGGTTGACAGTATCCGACGGCAGTGAACTCTCAGGTGTTTGATGAAAAATAATTTCAGGCTTGATGACTGCTGTTGCTGACTGTGTTCCTTTCAGCCTAATACAGTACGTTACTGCCTTGTCAACATTTTCTTGGCACTTAAACATATTTGCTGCTGTTGTGCTTGAGTTTCTTTCAGCAGGGTGACGGAGAACAAACTTCCAATTGTAAGTCTGTATTTTCTATTATTGCTTTTCAATTTTGAATCTAAGTGGCTTTTATTCCGACTCTGTAATTCTCTGCTGTGGCACTATTGCTGGTGGGGCCGAAGCGCTCTTTTACTGTATATGAAATGGGGAAAATTTTTTATCATCATGCTGTGTCTCAGCGGTGCATTGTGTTGCCTTGGCAGTGCAGTTAATTTGCAGTGTGATAAGCTAATTCAGTGATATTCAGGTTTTGTCTTATACAGTACTGTAGCACAAAAATGTCAGTTAAAACTGTGTGTGTGTGTGTGTGTGTGTGTGTGTGTTACAAAAGTTACAAGGTAAGCTATTTTTATTTGATGAAATCTGCTCAGATAGCAGCCATCTTAAACACTTAAGGTTGGACGATTGTCATATTATTAACACTTTATGTTGGACTAAAGTAATGGGCTGAATGAAAATAGGGGAAATACAGTCTTTTTATTTACCAAAGATCAATATTTTGGCACGTCTTGCCCTCTTAAAGGCCCTGCATACCCATGGGGAACACACGCAGGTGGTTTTAATTGTATGGGCTGATTAGACTTCAGTTGTGGCGGAAATCAATGTTTATGTATATTTTAAGCTCCATATAGTGCCCTCAAAAATAAATAATAACTCTAACCTTCAGTGAGGAGTGTGAGGCCTTTCTGCTGTCTGTGACAAGAATCTCTGATGTGACTGCAGAGCCTCCGTCAGCTCAACATAAGGATCGCAGTGGGACAGAGGACCGGTGACATATTGTGCACTGAGAATGAACGAGCAGAGAAGTTGAACCGCGGAGCAAAGGATGCGTGAGGCCCACAGGATGCCGTTCAGACAGGTGAGCACAATAACAAACTTGTAGTATGCTGACCCACTGTACAGAGTAAAATGTCAACATTGCTCAGCGCTTGTGTTCGTGGCTGCACCGGCTGTCGGTCATTTCCATTTAATGGTCTATATTTGTCCTCTTTCCTGTTTGTCGAATTGATAATCAGTTGTATGCATAGGCGGCAAAGCACCAGCTATAGAAAAGGAATTTACAATTGGTTTAGACATGAAGGCTGTGTGGTGTGATGTAGCCTATACTTTGACATGTAAATGTCCTTTATTTTGTAGCCTAAATGTTTTCTGTATTTTAATAGCTCTATAACATCATAATCAAATACTTTTTTTTTTTTTTACCACCACCCACCTTTTGAAAATGTAATGCAGTAACATTTACTTGAACTACATTTCAACTGTCCCATTGTTTACTTTTATCTGAATAATCTCACCTGTACTTTAGTAAAATTCCTTTAAAGCAACAGTACTTGTCCTTAAGTATTATATTCTTTTACTCTTTTCACCCCCGCTGAACATAAAAGTAAATCAGCCAGTGCATTAACAGGGAAACAACAACAGCTGTCAACAGTCGTCCTCCAGTCCCTCAGTTATTTGTGTAACTGCCTGTTGCAGACATCTTTCTGCCTGACACTTCTGGCCTGCAAGCTTCTGAATCTGCAGTTGTGGGATATTATCTCCCTGAAGGGCCTCACAAGCCTGCAGGCTGCTGGCAGGCAGAGGGTTATGGCTCCTGCTGTTGAGATTCAGGTTGTGACAGATTGAAGGTGGGAAGCTGAGCTAAGAGCTTGAAATGAACAGCTTTATAAAAATGAGGTATTATTGCAGCTGGATAAAACGGCACTAAACCACTAAATTAATGGCGGGTAAGGGCGCTATTAATCACAATTACTTAATCACACTTAATCAAAATAAACACTGCTACAAAGGTGGCTCATATTAGACAAAAAGCCAATTAGCAGTGACAATCACCACAGTGGGAGGTGAGTTTTTCGAGCAAGATAAGAAAACTAACATGTGGCAAGAAAAAACATTGCTGCATAATGACAAACGGACACAATCATTTCTATTTTTCTGCGGACACTTGCCCATGTTGACTTAAAATGTGAGGTTCAAAGTTCATTGTTGACCTCAGAACTAACAATAAAAAAAAAAATAATCTCAACACGAAGTTACTGTAAAATGTCACGGTCTAACTACGTTTGTTCATCCCAAAAAATACACTTCATACCCTCATACATAAACTAGAGTTACTTCAACATAGACAGACCCGTCAGTTCTCAAATATGCTGCAGTATACATCTGTAAATATTTGAACAGTGACTCATCTTTTGTTGTGTTGGCTCTGTACTCCAGCACATTGGATCTGGAATAGAACAATGACTATGAAGAGGTATATTCATCAATACTGTTTAAACAGTGGAGGAACTATAACCCTGTAAGCTTCTTACCTTCTTCCTGTGTATGTGAGTGTATGAAAGTCTTATCTTGGTTGTATTATGTTTAATGTTCAAACAAATATGTATGCTACAGATTGATTCCTACACTGTTTAATTAATATGGATGTGAAGACTCTGTCACTGTTTCACATCAAATGTGCTCATATGGAGACAAAACAATAGAGAAATGTGTCACTGCCCCAAAACTGATGGACTGAACCAAGGAAGTGTAGTGTTGAATTTGGTGCAATTTGGATAAACTCTGAATAAACAAGCGATTGCACTCTGTGCAGCCGCGGGTGAGGGGCTTCAGGGTTCTGTATTGTGTGATTGAATGAATACAACGGCCAATTGGCTAACCCCCAGTCTAGACTCCAATGGCCAAAGCGTCATAAAACACATTCCAGTTGAACTCAAAAACAAGCATCGATGAATGCCACGTCATACAATCTTGCCAAAAACAAAATTAAACTCACCAAGCTGTCTGCCCACGGCTGAGTTGCAGAGAGGTACAGAAGTATGTGTACTGGTAGTTCCACCAGTGGTTAGCCAAACGCATCGTACGAAACATTAGAGTTGTTGTATAATACTGTTATGATCTCATGTGTGCTGAAGTATGAATAGTAAAAGAGTAAATGGACTTGCATTTGTAGAGAGCCTTCTAGTCTTCCAACCACTCAAAGCGCTTTACACTACATTATTCACCCATTCACACACATTCATACACTGACAGCAGAGGCAGCCAAGCAAGGGGCCATCTGCCTAAACTAATTCACAGTCACGCACATTCATACACCGATGGCAAAGCCTGCGGGAGGAATTTCAGTGTCTTGCCCAAGGACCCTTTGACATGCGGACAGGAGGAGCCGGAGATCGAACCGCAGATCTTCTGATTGGAAGCTCTTCCTCTGAGCCACAGCCGAGGCAGGGAGGCGAAACACTGCTGTTCTACCTCCCTGCCTGAGGGTGGTGCTGTTCACCCTGTCTCATATATATTCATATACTCATGAATTCATATATACGTCATAGTTTAGTATATAACAAAATATATCATGGTAAAGTACATCAAAAAAATGTATATCATAGTATAGTGCATCAAATAAAATTGTTAAAAAAGGTCATCAAAATGTCCGAGTATGGTTTGAAGAAAAATATTATAGTATCGTGAGTCATAAAATAAATGGCGTAGTTTAGTATTCCATAAAAATGTCGTCATATAATTAGTTTTGAAAATGTCACAGTATTATATGTCATAAAAAGGTAATACGATCATAATGTATGTCATAATAAAGTTGTCAAAACAAATGACATAAAAAAGTCAGAAAAACTTATAGTGTGGCAAAAAATGACATTAAGAATAAAAGTAATTGTATACTACAGTATGCCATTAATTGCCATAAAAAGTCATAGTATGCTATGAAAATGGCATAACAAAGGTCAAAATATAATATATCATAAAAGAATCATAGTATACTTAATTATGTCCTAAAAAAAATCCATAAAAAGTCACTACATGTCCTAAAAATCTATAGTACAATATGCCACAATAAGATCACAGGGTTATGCCACAATAAGATCACAGGGTAGTACATCATAAAACAATGTCAATAAAAAAAGCCATAGTATAGTATGCCATAAACAATATACCGTTTCAAGTTCTTTATATTCCTATACACACCAAGTCCACAGAAGCACTCTTTGCCAATGAAAATATTTGATCTCCTGTCATAAAAGCTCATTGAATCTGAGGAGTTTTACTCTGTACAGCAGCGGGGCTTCAGGGCTCTGCGGACTGAGTTGAGCATGTCGTCCGCAGCCGGCCTTTAAAAGGTGCGGCTCATTGACTGCAGTTCACTTTTGCTGCTGGATATACGAACGTCACTTCCCTGGAGTCAACCAGAGATGAGCGGTTCTCAAGAATGCTCCATGCAGCCCTACCGCGCGCTGAGCTATCGCCCTGCTCCTAACAGGCATATGACCCCCGAAGACGCTGCATGCAGCGATACTGGGAGCCAGCCAATCGGCACTTCTTTATAGAAACTTGCAATACCAGGTTACAAATAAAATGTAAACATACTGCATAGATAATCCTCCAGAGTCTGATAAATGTCAGATATCTGATGTTTGCATGATAAAGTATCTTTATATGTAAAAGACAAAGGCATCTCTGGGCTGCTTTTTCTTTGTAGCGTTCCCCCCCCCCCCCCGATTAAAATACAACCTAAAGAAATGTGGTCAAAACAGATCATGCTGGGGGACAGGGAGACCTGTTTGAAAAGTAGACCCACACATTTATTCATTGTGCTGATATCAAAGAAATTATAGGGAAGTTAAATTAGTCTTGATGTTGCTGAAGTCAGACCTCTTGGAACCAATTCAAGAAACCCTGCCGAGCTCTGGACCCTTGTTGTGTGTGTGTGAGAGAGAGAGAGAGAGAGAGAGAGAGAGAGAGAGAGAGAGAGAGAG